GGTTTAAAAATTTACATGTCACATCTTAATACAAAAACAAATCCAAAATGGACCATAGATCTAAATGTAACATATAAAGCTATAAAACTTTTTGAGGACAGCATAGGTTACTCAAAATATTCTTTTTTTTTTTTTAAGATTTTATTTATTTATTTGAGACAGAGAGAATGAGAGACAGAGAGCACATGAGAGAGGGGAGGGTCAGAGGGAGAAGCAGGCTCCCTGCCGAGCAGGGAGCCCGATGCGGGACTCAATCCCGGGACTCCAGGATCACGACCTGAGCCGAAGGCAGTCGCTTAACCAACTGAGCCACCCAGGCACCCGGTTACTCAAAATATTCTTAGGTGTGATACAAATAGCAATGATCCATAGAAGAAAAAATGGTTAATTAGACTTCATCATCGTTAAAAGGTTTTGCTCTGCAGAAGGTATCTTTAAAAAACTGGAAAAAAAAAAAAAGGAGAAAGTATTTGCAGATTGCATCTCTGACAAAGGATTTTTATATAGATTATATAAAGAACTCTCAAAATTCAACAATAAGAAAACAATCCAGTTTTGTTAATGGGCAAAAGATTTGAACGAAGGGCGCCTGGGTGGCTCAGTTGGTTGAGCAACTGCCTTCGGCTCAGGTCATGATCCTGGAGTCCCTGGATCGAGTCCCTGGATCGAGTCCCGCATCGGGCTCCCTGCTCGGCGGGAAGTCTGCTTCTCCCTCTGACCCTCCCGACCCTCCCCCCTCTCATGTGCTCTCTCTCTCTCAAATAAATAAATAAAAAATCTTAAAAAAAAAAAAAAGATTTGAGCGAATACTTCACCAAAGAAGATATCCTAATGGCAAATAATCACTTGAAAAGATGTTCAAATTATTAGTAATTAGAAAAAAATCTAATTAAGCCACAATGAAATATAACTATAGCTATTAAGGTGACTAAAAAAATAAAACGCCTGACAATGCCATGTATTGGCAAGGATGTAGCACAAAACTGCTCGACAGTTTCTCATAAAGTTAAATATGTACTTACTATATGGCCCAGTAGTCCTATTTCTGGGTTGTCGCCTAAGTGAAATGAAAATCCATGTTCACACAAAAACTTGTGTGCAATGTTTAACAGCAGCTTTACTTACAAGTGTCAAACACTGAAAATAAACCTAAATGGCTCTCAACTTGGAAATGGATAAACAAAACAAGGTCTGTCCACACGGCGGAAGACTTACCTAATAATGAAAAAATAACTGGGTATGAGCCACGACTTGGTTCATCTCAAGGGCATTATGTTGAGTGAAGAAAGCCAGTCTGAAAAGGTTGCATTCTCTATGATTCCATTGATAGGACGTTCTGGAGATGGCTATAATGACAGCCTGTAGATCAGTGCTCGTCAGAGTGTGGAAGGGCTTGGGGGAGTAGAGTGACGGCTGACTACCAAGAGGTAGCAGAAGCAAATTTAGGGGGGGTGTGATGAAACTGTGCTGTACCTTGATTATAGTGGTAGTAACATAACTGTCTGAATTTGTCAAAACTCACAGAACTGTACACCAAAAAGAGTACATTTTATTGTACGTAACTAAAAGTAGAGAAAAAAGTTACGTCAGTGTTGTTATATACTATGCTTATCCTTCTGCAACTTTCTTATTTACTCAACATTTAAAAATTTACAGATCGGGCGCCTGGGTGGCTCAGTCGGTTAAGCGACTGCCTTCGGCTCAGGTCATGATCCTGGAGTCCCAGGATCGAGTCCCGCATCAGGCTCCCAGCTCGGCAGGGAGTCTGCTTCTCCCTCTGACCCTCCTCCCTCTCATGCTCTCTGTCTCTCATTCTCTCTGTCTCAAATAAATAAATAAAATCTTAAAAAAAATAGTAAAAATAAATAAATAAAAATTTACAGATCACTCCACGTCTCAGAAAGTTTTCAGTAGGTAGAACGCATTCCAAGTGGAGGGACTATTGAGAACAAAGATTCAGAAGTAATATGACCGGAGTTTCATCTACGCACTCAATTTTAAAATGGAAAATGTCATTTAAATGGAGCAGGTTCCATTGGGGATGACCCTCTGGGGATCATCGCTTGGACATGAAGGTTGACAGAGGTTTTCTGTCACAGTCATTCATTCTGACCTTCAAGGCTGTTAGTCTCAAAAGGTGAATTTCCGGGGACCTCAGCTATATCAACATTAAGTAAAGAATATGGGGAGAGAAGTCTCTACATTCTCTCTAATTTGGTTTTGTCCAATCCTATAAGAATCAAATTTATGTATGCATACTGCATTGGAAAAAGTACCAGATGAGTTCCAGTCCTATTTTATCTTCTAAATAGTTGGCAAGTCACTTAAATACATGGAGTTGCTTTCGTCTTCCATAAAAAGTTGCACTGTGCTAAATTATTTTAAGTCTCTTTCTGCCTATAAAATGTTATGTGATATTAATCAAACCTCTGAAGCATTCAGTTGTCCATTCAACTGCCTGACATGTCTCAGGAGCTTATCTAGGTGTCCTAGATACAAATAAGAACTGGAGTCCTCCGTTTAGTGGGGGCTAAGCACACCACAGGACAATGGTGGGTTGGTCAAGGCCTGGGGAAGTGCCAAAGAGAGAGCAATTCATAGCCAACGCGGGAGTCAGGGAAGGGCATGAAGGATGAGAATGCCAAATAAGCATCCAGACACACCCCAATTCACTGCTGCTTCTCTGTTCTCCACATCTGATTTTGTTTGAGAAAGAAAGTTTTGCTCTCCTTCTACTAATCTGTCAGTGGATGTCAATGAATAGGAAGCTACAGACTCTCAGTCAGACTTCATGCTCAGACATATATCCTCTCAAGTCTTCATTTCCTATTTAACAAAACATAAAATGAAGACTCTCTGGAACTGGAGGGCCCAGCACTTCTGTAAATGTAAAGCTGTGAAAGCTTTCCCAGCGATGAGTAAGCATTTAGAATCCAGGCGTTTTGTGTTTTTTTAAAGTGGTAACAGCCTAGCTTTGAGAAATATGTGTAGCACATTTTCCCACACTTCTTCTAAAGAAACAACAAAATAAATAAATATTCTAGAAGATGATTTTAGAGACTGAACATAATTCCTGCCCATTAATTACCACATGATTTGATGCCAGGAATGTTCATTTAAAAACAGTTAACCCCGAAGGTTAAATGACAAGAGAAATTATTGTAGTAAAAATCAAATGGTCCATTAATACAATCTCACATATATGTGGAAAAGCATAAAAAATCAAATATGGAATAAGTACTATGTATTAGGAATGTATTTGTCAAAGATGGAACAGGACCTCCTTATATGCTAGAGAATTTTGATTAATCTGAAAGTTTTATTCAAGTTTAAATAGGAAATGGGACTTTTATTTCAACACTTTTTTTTTTAACTCTTACTAAAATATATAAGCTTTCCTGATTTTCTAAGCACAAAGAATCATCATGGCTGCGTTAACCCTTGAAGACTGAGGTATCAAAACATCTGTGCTGATGGCCAGCTACGCTAGATGCCAGGGTTCAAGACCAGCCCTCAGAACCTCAGGTAGACCCTAGAATATCCTTTTGGAGGGATAAATTCCTGATGTCAGCTTTAAAACAATGTTTAAATCCTCTCTTTTCCCCGGGTTGTAGGGAGCAACCAACAGTCTAGCAAGGAACAACTTCCATTTTATTGACTCTGGTTAGTCGAGATTTTACTGTTTTTGGAGAAGAATGCTCATGAATATAGTTGCTAAGTCATATGGTGGACCTCAAGGAATATTCCCCCCAAATACTTTTTCACTGGGAAGGGCAAACCAGCTACTTTACAGTGGAAAACTGTGGTGGACACCACCTTAAGCAAATGACCAAAGATAAGCTTGCAGCAATGGGACTAATCAACAGCACATGTCTCCTGCTAGGCTACTCTGAGAACCGGGCATCGCTCCTGTGGTATTCCTGCCCAGAGTGCATAATCTGAATCTAGTCATGAGGAACATGAGTGGGGGGACAGTCTGCAGAATAACTGACCTGTACTCTTCAAAAATACCAATGTCATGAGAAAGAAAGGCTCAGGGAAATGTCCCAGATCACAGGAGACTGAAGAGACAAAATGTCTGAATTCAAATTTTGGATTGTTTTGCTATAAAATAAGACATCGTGGGGACAATTGACAAAGTCTTAATAAGGTCTTATAGATAAGATAATAACATCATTTCAGTGTTAATTTCCTGATTTTGATCCTTGTCCCATGGTCATGCAGGAGAATCCATGTTTTTAGGAAACATAAACAATTATTTAGGAAATAAAAGATCATTATGTCTGCAACTTATTCTTAGATGAACATGAGAGAACCTATTGGCTGATGAAAATGTTTCATCTCTTGAGTGTCATGGCAGATACAATGGTTACACAAATGTATGTATTTGTCAAAGGTCATCAAACTTTATTAAATACATGAATTTTATTGTTTGTAACCATAACTCAGTGAATAAAACTGATCTTTTTTTTTAAATGCCTTTCATTTTGATATTGTATGATACTGTTTTGTGACTTACTCTTACTCAGGTAATAAGCCATATGAACTACCTTTCTGGTTTTTATGTGTATAGTTTTATATTTATTGATTGATCGATTTCCTAACCTGATACATGAAATTCAATAGTTCCTGATCTGTTACAAGCTCACTCTTTCCATTATGTCTTTTTAGCTCATCTGTTTTAAGTAGTTTGCAAAGAGGCACAAGGCTCTCATTCAAATTCGCTTGCGTTTTAAACAGCTGCAAATATTTTCTATCTAAAAAAAATCTTTTTTTTGCCCATAAAAGATCTCGCCAACATAAAACAATCCCTATAGTTTGTATTATATAAAAACGAAAAAAGAAAAAAGAGGAAAAGCATGTTGGCTCCTTCAAAGGAAATGAGAAACTAGGACTAGGGCCATTTCTGATCACTAAATAATAGGATTTCAGTTGTTCCCTATCCCACAGGAGCTTAGCCATTAACTCAGCTTAGGAAAGGAATTGCAAACCGGACTGTCCCCTGTTGTGAAGCGATTCTGATGCCTTTACATTGCACCACCAAAGGCTTGAAGAAAGGTGAGCCGCCAGGGCCAGCAGGTACCATAGAAATTGGCTCTCAAAGCTCAGGAGTGAAAGGCTGTTAGTACAAGTAGAAGCATTTCTGACCAACACGTGGATTTGGACCTGACCCACATTAGCAAGGCAGGATGAGGCTGCAGGGTGCATCCAGAGGCCAGAGCTTAACAGAGAATGAGCTGGAAATGTGGCAGTTCTCCTTCCTCCTGGCTCCACCAAATCAACCAGGTATCCATGTACACGCTCCTTCTCTAGGGCTCAGCTTCCTTATCTGCAAGACGAAAGATTGCACCGAGTAATCTTTACAACTGCCTAACATCCCATGATTCTGAATCTCGGCATCTCTGGTATGAAGCACAGTGTCTCTTCTACTCCCCAATTTTTGTCATTTCTCTCCCTCTCGCTTCCCAAACTGACAATATTATCCTACTTCTTTTCTTTTTTTTTTTTAATATTTTATTTATTTATTTGACAGAGACATAGCGAGAGAGGGAACACAAGCAGGGGGAGTAGGAGAGGAAGAAGCAGGCTTCCCCGCGGAGCAGGGAGCTGGATGTGGGGCTCGATCCCAGGGTCCTGGGATCAGGACCTGAGCTGAAGGCAGACGCTTAACGACTGAGCCACCCAGGCGCCCCAAGTACTACATGGGACGTTCTTTGGATAAGAGGAAACATTTAAATTGTTTCTATTGTGGTTTTCGCTTACTGGGGGATAGAAAATGTTTCCTCCCCTCCGCCCCCACTAATTCCTGGGAGTATCCATAAAACTCTCCACAGCCGGTGCAGTAACAGGATAGATACAGCTAGTAGATACTTTATGTTTGCTTAAGTACCTAGGAATTCCTAAGTAATTGAGTAACTTTATCTCGTAAGGAGTAATAACATCTGTGTGAGTGGACCTGTAGGTTCTGTTATCATCATCTACAAGTGAACAGATTCCAGATTCCAGATTTTACGTCCCTGACTATGGATGAGGCCAGTTTAAGCTTCAGCTTAGAACCTCATCCAGTTTTACTTTATGGTGAAAATGGCTGGTTTAAAATTGGCCTAGATCTGGAAACTGGAAAGTACTGGAAGGCACCAGGATCTACCACCCCAAAACATTGTGTCTTTGGCAGATGGATGGTTTTGAGAACCAGCAGAAGAAGGAAAAGCTTTAAAAACAGGGCACAAGTTTCCTTTTGTAAAGGAAATTTACATCGGTAGAGACATCTTCCTCTCCTTTCCTGGGAAGGGAAGGTTTCTTAACAGCTCCTATTGGTGGAGAGGCACCATATAATAAATGTCACTAAACTTTAGTCCTTGTTTAGCATACTTTTCCTCATTGCCTTACCATAACTTGTCTCCCCTCCCAGGAGCCAAGACCCATTTTCCTTTGTCTAGCCTATCACAGTATATAAGCCCAGGTTCCAACCCCGCTTTAAGTTCCTCAGGGCTGAGTGCTCCCATGTTTACACACGATGCACAAAATTCACTTCTGTTTGCTTTCTCTTGTTAATCTGTCTTCAGCCAGCCTAATTTACAGAACCCCAGCTGGAGAACCTAAGATGGATAGAGGAAGAATTTTTTTCCTTCCCTACAGTGCCGTACCTAAACTATTAGAATAAACACTCTTACCTTAAAGAAGAGAAATGTGCCCAGACTGATGAAAGAAGCTATTTTTCATCCTGTTTGGGGTCACCCTGGGGAACTGTTTGTCGCGTGTCTTTCTGAGAACAATAGACATGAGAGAGATGTGCATGGAAAAAGAGCTTCTGAGGTCATGTACATAGAGAAATGCTACCTGTTCTACACCCCCTGGAAGAGTCGCAGTCTACACTGGCCCATTTAAGGCTCTGAGATGTTCTGCGTTCATTAAAATACATTTCGCTTTATGATTAACTTTGCTTAACTTGTAGCGTTCCAAATTTAAGTGACTCAGAACCCTTTTTCCCCATAAACTCTCCTTGTTCTGCAGAACACACTTCGGGAAACCCGGCACCAGGGTTCATTTTCCTGGCAAAGTGTCTAGAATAATTTCTGGGCCAGTCGTTGCAACACCCCAAGCTTCCTTGGTGGGATGGAGTCTACTTCAGGGTGCCGGACGCGGGGTGGCAGTCACCCCAGCAGCACCAGGCAGGGGCAGCAGAGGTAAAGGTTTGAGCAGCCCGTTTGGGGCCCTGTAGCAGGAAGTGGTTGTGGGGCTGAATGGGGTAGTGATGAAAAAGAAGAAGAAGGGATCCCCATTCTTTCTTAGGACAAGCAATTCCCAGATTGCCAAACCTCAACTTGAGAGTCAGAGCTGTGCCTCTACCTGGAAATCTGATCTGGGAGTACAGAAAAGACAATCTGTACTTTCACGATGAAGAGCTCAGACTCCAGATTCCGTCCAAATTTGGCTCAGCCCCGCGCTGGTTATGCGACCCTTGGCAGGAAGCATTCTGCGCCTTTATTTTCTTGTAGTAAAGTAGCAATTAAGATAGTACCTATTTCTTTAGCTTTTTGTGAGGATTAAATGAAATATTACATTAAAGACACTTAGCCCAGTGTCTGGCATTAATTAAGTGCTTGAAATAAAGTTAGATACTGTTTTGTCAAGGGGAAAAATACAGTTACAAAATAACTTCATAAATACCAGCTACCAGTTCCATAAAAAGTCAGCCAACAGAGAGCTACAGACCTTGAGTAGCAAGAGGAACTTCTGTGTTGGTGAGAATCTTTGACTAGGACCCAAGCTCTTCTGCCCTAAAAGTGAAGTTAGTTAGGAAAGAAAGTTACCACTTAAACAGTGCTTGAGCAAATAGATGTAGATGATTTAAAAAAAAAAAAAAAAGCAATATATATTTTGCTGTTTGTATTTGTAAATCTCGGACCACCCTGTATCTCTGAGTCTGTTTCTAGGAATTATAATAAATTTGAAATTTTATTTTTAAAAGTTCAGTCTGGAACCATGAGAGACTATGGACTCTGAGAAACAAACTGAAGGTTCTAGAGGGGAGGGGGGCGGGGGGATGGGTTAGCCTGGTGATGGGTATTAAGGAGGGCACATTCTGCATGAGCACTGGGTGTTATACGCAAACAATGAATCATGGAACACTACATCAAAAACTAATGATGTATTGTATGGTGATTAACATAACATAATAAAATTAAATTTAAAAAAAGTTCAGTCTGTTGTTTAATGGGTATAGAGTTTCAGTCTTGCAAGAGAAAAAGTTCAGGAGGTAGGGCAATGTTAACATACCTAACGTTAATGAACTATGCACTTAAAATGGTTAAAAAAGATAGGGGGCCTGAGTGGCTCAGTCGGTTAAGCAGCCGACTCTTTTGATTTCAGCTCAGGTCATGATCTCAGGGTCCTAGGATCGAGGCCTGTGTCAGGCTCTGTGCTCAGCGGGAAGTCTGCTTGAGGATTCTCTCTCCCTCTACCCCTCCCCCCCGCTCATTCTCTCTCTTTCTAAGATAAATAAATAAATCGTTTTAAAAAATGGTTAAGAAGGCAAATTTTTATGTTATGAATTTTTTTTTAACCACCCATCAAAACAAAAAAAGATAGAGAGAGAGAAAAGAGTTTGATCTGTATCTTATCTTCACTTGCTCTGTAGTTCAGGGCCGGCCCGCAGGGTTGAAAGTAAGTAGCACGCTCTGTGGCCCCATTTCCATCAGTAGGAGCAGGGGATGTGAGCAGAAACCGAATGGCTTTAGAAAATCTCTTGACTTGGGCGCCTGGGTGGCTCAGTTGGTTAAGCGACTACCTTCGGCTCAGGTCATGATCCTGGAGTCCCGGGATCGAGTCCCGCATCAGGCTCCCTGCTCGGCAGAGGGTCTGCTTCTCCCTCTGACCCTCCCCCCTCTCATGCTCTCACTCTATCTCATTCTCTCTCTCAAATAAATAAATAAAATCTTTAAAAAAAAAAAAAAGAAAAGAAAATCTCTTGACTCCACTCAAGATTTGGTAAGAAATTAGGGTGACTCACGGAACGTGGGGTTGGGCCCTAAGTGGGCTCTGCTTTTTACCCTTTTGAAAGTAGCCTATTACAGTTGGGGAATCGGTCCAAAACTGAACTCCATTTTCTTTGCAGAACTGCTCCTTCTGTGTCCCAGCACCCCACCAACCTTCTCACCTACACCAGAAACCTGAGCTATGGTGTGCTGATAAATGCATCACAACAAGCTCTCCTGGAAACAAAACAGCATGCCTTCATGCACATATGTGTATGAAAACTATTACTGATATAGAGAACGTATGGCACAAAATTTACAAATAGAATAAAATATATAATAATCTTTACTGTAAATGCTCACTGAATGTTTCTGTCGATTTTTACTGACCTCTCGTAACCACAGCCATTGTGTTGTGGGACAGATGGAAGAGAGTGGTTCCAACATGAATGGTGGCTAATATTTACATTTTTGTTTGCAATAGTGAATCTGAGGCAAGGAAGCTATATATTGGCTCTTCACTCATTCATCTATGATGCGGATGACTTCTTAGCTGAATCAGATAATAGATTTGAGTACCAGAAGTTTCAGGGTTTTATGCTACTCACAATGTAATACCTTCAGACATGAAATCCTTTAATGTTTAACTTACATTATTAACAATTTCTCCATCACCTTTTTAAAGATTTTATTTATTTATTAGAGAGAGAAAGAGAGAGAGCACGAGCAGGGGTAGGGGCAGAGGGAGAAACAGACCCCCCTTGAGAAGGGAGCCTGACACGGGGCTCGATCCCAGGACCCAGAGATCATGACCTGAGCGGAAATCAAGAGTCGGACACTCAACCGACTGAGCCACCCAGGCGCCCCTCTCTGTCACTTTCTTAAATCTAGAACAAGCGTTGGCAAACTATGGCTGGGCAGAAAACAAAAGGAAAACCAAAATATCGGGCTGCTGCCTGCTTTTGTCAACAAAATTCTACTGGAAAACAAGTTCACTCGTTTATGGATTGTCCACGGCTGCTTTCACGCCTCAGTGGCAGAGTTGAATGTTTTGACAGGGACTGTTTGGCCCAGAAAGCCCTGTCTGGCGCTTTGTAGTAAAAGTTTGCTGACCTCCTGATCTAAAAAATCAACAAAGCAACAAGGTAAGTCCTGATTTGTAGCTTTTTCCCATTTCCATAGTATAAATGTCGCCACCGTGGCAGATTTCAAGCAACTAGTGTTAAGTTAGGAAGAGATGCTCAGGAGCACATCCTTATGTGGCATTTCCAGCGGACAGATACAGGAGATGCAAATAACCGCAAAAGCTTAGATAACAGTAAAAGGTAGTTAAATAATTAGCGATGACTTTTGAGAATTTATTACCTTTGTATTTAATATAATTTATTTTATTGTCCATGTATATAATTTAAATTTTAGTAATAGCTATGTATACATACAATGGGATTGCCTCCTGGCTCTGGCATACCACCCTTTGAAGGTCATGGGAGCTCCCCACTTCCCTCATGCCACCTACATCAGTTTTCAAGTCCTATAATTCCATCCCCTGAACCTCTGTAACGTCTGCTCTCCTTCCTTAGCGTTAGTGCTTTCGCTCTGGACATCTTCATCTCGTGGCCAGACTTTTATAATTTCTTAAATTGTCTCTTGACATCCGAACACATCCCTCCAATCCGTCCTCTGGACAAAGCTTCCTAAACTATAAGGTGCATCTGCATCATCTGGGATTCTTATTAAAATGAAGATTTCCCTCTTCATGGGAGGTCTTGGGATTCTGCATTTCTAACAGGCTCTGGGGCGGTGGTGATGCTGCTGTTCCTCCGACACTTGAAGTAGCAGAGCTGGGCTGCTGCTAAGCACTCTTGCTAACATGTAACTCTGACCTTGTTACTCCCTTCTTCCCAAATACCGCCGGCTGTTTCACACCTTTGCGCTTTATTAATATTGCCCCCTGTGCTTGAAATCTCTCTGCTCCCTTTTGCTCCCTCTTGCCGCTGGCTGGGAAATGCCTTCTCTTAAACACTGCTGCATGGCAGTCCCCTGTTAAAGGAGCGCCCTCCCATCGTCGGGTCCCCGCCGCTCTGGGCCAGCACGTTCATCTAATGACACTGCTGCGTTTATTTGTTTGTGTCGCTGTCTCCGTCATTAAATTCTGACAACCCAAATTCCCTAAGCCATATTCTGACCTCAACTCAAATACCATTTCCTCAGAGAGTTCCTCCGATGCCCCTGAGAAGCCCTCACATCCTTGCCTGGTCACTCTCCATTCTACCAGGCCTGTTTTTTTGTTTGTTTAGTTTTGTTTTTATTTTTGTTTTTTTTGAGAGCACTGTTCACACCCTACAATTACCTTGTTTTAATTTTTAACAGAAGCAGTCTCATTTAATGTAATTGAGACCAATAGTTAGTAGGTTGCTTGCACATGAGGCACAAAAATTGGGGAATCATAAAAAAGTGATCTATGTCTATGTCAAATACTTTTGTGAAAATTTAAGTAAATGCATGTTAATTTGCCTCAGTCTTAACCTAGAGACAAGGTCACCATCCTGAACAGGAGTTCACTGATTCAAGTTCAGCATCATATTTCTTGCATAAACTACAACCCTAGAGCATCCTCTCTAATTTCTGGTTTCTGTTACTTTAACGTGGAGCATGAACATATAGAAACTTGGAAAGCAAGATTGAAAAATTTTCCCTTGTCTTTTACAATTAGGCCTTGCCCACATCTAATTTAAAGGCATTGTTTGAAAGCAACCCGCAATTATCAAATCTTCCAAAGCATGTAATTTAGTTTTGGGGTTTTGTTTTTTTTTCTTTACAACAAACATTTTATTTTGGAGTAATTTTAGATTTACAAAGAACTTGCAAAGATTGTGCAGGGGGTTCCTAAATACCCCTCACCCCACTTCTCCCAGTCATTAACATATCTGCATTTGTCAAAACTAAAAAACTGACAATGATATATTATTATTAACTATTAAGAACTCCAGGCTTTCTTTGGATTCCCCCCCCTTGTCCATTGCCTCTTCCTGTCCCAGGAGCGAGCCCCCAGTGCCACATGGCATTTGGTTGACCCATCTTCCCCTGATTCCTCTGGTCTTTGAGAGTTTCTCCATCTTTTCTTGTTTTTCATAACCTTGACCACCTGGAGAAGAACTGGCCAGGTATCTGCAGAATGTCTCCCAATACCTGACATTCTTTTCATGAGACTGGAGTTGTGGATTTTTGGAAAGGACACACAGAGATGAGATGCCCTTCAGGCACATACTATCTATCTACTGGCACCGCTGTTGATAATAACCTTCATATCGTTTACTTTTTATAAAAAGAATGCTCATCCTTTGAGCACTTACATTTTGTTGAGTTACGTACTATTTCGTCGAATAAGGTAACCAGAAACATAAATACAAGAGGCACCCACAGGATCCGGAGCAAACACAAGGGCTCTGGATCAGTGTGGGTGGTGCCTGGTGGGAGCAGGGGGCTAGGAGCGCGACCATCAGCCTGACAGGGTCTGTTTCCCTCCTCCCGCCATGAGTGCCGGGAGCTGGTCGGACTTACTCCGCCCTGAATCCGCAGGACTTCGGGCAGTGCCTGGCCCACAGCGGGGACTCATTACGTGCTTGTTGAATGAATACAAGCACAGAGCAAACTCCAGGTGTCTGTCAGTCAGGGTCCAGTCAGGAGATGGTTGAACAGAGAGAACTTAATGATCAACTAAGTGCCAAGTTGTTAACTAGATAACAGAGATGGCAGCAAGATAGCAATAAATGATCATGGAAGCAGCAAGTGTAGGAAGCAGCCATCACCCCTAGGGCTTGGAAACAAAGAGAAGAGGCCGAAACTATTGAATCTTGGGT